TTGACTAACTACGACGCATCAGGACCTGAGCACGACAGAACAGGTTATTGCGGGAGCGCAGTAGCTTCTAAAGCGCTCGGGTGGCTAGCGAGGTCCGGGAAGAGACGGTCACGGCCAATACAACGTCTCCGGACACAACTGGTGAGTAATATACATAAGGTTGTGTGCTAGCCATTGTGTGTCGACCGGTGGCGCCATCGAGTGTCGCCGGAAAGCACGAAAACGCTACACTGGCAATCGAATCGAATTCCATTGAACCCCAAATTATACATCCCGAGTCCTTTTCGTGATCCCCCCCCCCCCCGATGTCCCGAATATCAAGATCGTACGTTATTGAGATTAAGATTTGTGGCGTAACTGTTGACACACGGACGGACGGACATTCATGTGATTCTACAAGCTGCATCTGACTTCGTCATGACGAAAATGACATAGGTCTCAATCTCGCCATGCTCTCTATCCTTGAACCCATGGCATTGTTTACACCGGCAGCGTTGAACGTGTTAATGATGATTGATTATTGAGTTGTTGATGATTGTTTATTGAGTTGTTGATGATTGTTTTGTGACAGTTGAGTGTGTGTTACTGTTACAACTCGCGGCTAGGGCCTGCATACCTCCCAACGTCCCATTGGTTGATACAAATCTAGTTAATTTTTTAAATTAAATTGTAATTAGTGTTAGGGTTAGGGTTAGTATTAGGGTTAGGGTTAGGATTAGGGTTAGGGTTAGGGTTAGGATTAGGGTTAGGATTAGGGTTAGGGTTAGGGTCACAATGCACCATAAAAGTTTTATTAAAACATGAGTTTCAGGCACGTGATTTGTATCAACCAATGGGATTTGGGAGGTATGCAGGCCCTAGGCCTAGCTGCGAGTGCGAGTAATGTTACACAGTACACCGTTACTCGGTTAGAAATCAGATCCTTTTTAACTATGCATGTTATTTCATGTTGGTCATACTCCACTCTACATTATTTAATGATATAACTCACTGATACCGCCATCGTAGGGAAACTTTCAATCCTTCGTTGCTTTGCAAGCGGCTGAAGATTTTGACGAAATACACGTGTTGTTTCCTACCGTAGCAGCTTTTGTATGAGTTTACATCACAAACTTATCCAAACTATCAATAATAAATATTCCCATGTTTAAGGAATTATTTTTTGACTCTGAAATAATTATATCTAGTTTACTACTAATTAACTAATCAAATTTTAAGTAGTTTTGCATTTATGCAAACGGTTTCTCTGTAGTTTAACGGTAGGTTTCCAATATGTCAGCCTTCATGTCTACTTAGAATTGTACATGCCAATGCTACTGTTACATAGTGTGTTTAAATACGCTACTTCCTCTTACATTATTTTTATTTTACCTGGTATAGAGCTTCCAGCTTAACGTGTAAGTAATTAGATGTGCAAAATACATGAGTTTGAGTATAACAATGTAGATTGTAGGTTTATAAGTCGGACGTGGATATTCGGGCTCAAGGATAGAGAACATCCTCCTCCTCCTCTCTATCCTTGAACCGATATTCGTCCGAGCATCGGGCACCTCAGTCACCTGTTCGTATGCGCTATGTGTCCGAGCAGTTGTTGCGCATGCGCTGTTCATGTTGTATTACATAAATGTAATATAATGCTAGTCTAGGGAGGAGCCTACTCCCTAACCCTAATCCTAACCACAGCCCTAACCCTAACACTAACTATAAACCGACTAGGTTCTCTTATTATGCGCTCGGTTTCGTATATATGGCCTAGGCTAGTGATAGTACCAAACACTATCTATGGTGTATAACCACATACGCAACGCATGTATGCAGGGGTGTCACAGCTGTAGGGCTGCCGTAGCAAAACGCTACGGGCCCCCAGCCTAAACAGCAAAAAATCATAAATCTAAAGGGTAAATAGCATTTTAGAGCGTCTAGATTTAAAAATGACCCCCCTTCACACTTCCTATTTTTGGCACTAGAGGCCGTGAGCCTGCGGCATGCTACATGAACAGCGCATGCGCAACAACTGCTCGGACGAATAGCGCATACGAACAGGTGGCCGATGCTCGGACGAATATCCACGTCGTTATAAGTCACAATTTCATAATTAACCGATTCATATTGACATTTTTTGTCATTGATATTATCAAGAGCCTATTAACCCCAGAGCGTACAACGCTGAAATAGGAAAACCATGGTGTCGTTCAAAGTTTACCTACCTTATTTTGATACTTCTCTACCGGAATATTATGCAGGAGTCATAGCTAGCCAATATAAGATCAACCGCTTGTCTCTACGATGTTCCTATGCCGAGATATAAAGCGATAAAAATTGAGTACTTCTAGGTAATCCTAGCGCCATATCACCCAGTAACACGCCTCTTCTGCGTTTAGTGACTGCTAATGTTGCTTCCGGTCGCCGCTTGGAGCGCTGACTCGTTACGTCATTACTACAGAGTTTACTACAGCTAGCGTAAGAGTCGGGTCACCGTGGTGATGACTCGCCCCTTACGCTAGCTGTAGTGTGGAGATTTCGGGGGTGTGTAACTCACAAGAGCAGTAGACTAGATCAGGATGGATAGATTGAACTCGCAGTATAGATAGAATAACCAGGTATACTAGACTAAGGACAGGATAAAATATAGAGGCACATAAATATATCAACACCCCTGGGCGCAGCCATCTTGGATCATACATACGGATGGGGTCTAGGGAAAACAAGGAATGTAAACAAGAACGCAATATATATAGTATAATAATCAATGCGGTTAGGTACCATTAATCAACATAATATATGAGGAGATTTGAATAGAATGAATAGTCTAAGTTGTCGAAGAGAGGAATATTTACTTAGAAACGAGTTGCATAAGATGATGCAATCATCGTGCCAGCCATGGGTTGCGTCAACAGGTGAAAGCGATTGCACCAGCAAACGAAATCTACGTGCCAGCTAGGTATATAAGGCGCACGGAACCGAGCAGCGGGAGCGTTATTTTTCAGGTTAGGTTTAGGTAGCAAGAAGAAGAGAAAGAAGGAGAAGAAGAGAGCGTTATTTTTCAGGTCTAGGTAGGAAGAAGAAGAAGAAGAAGAGAAAGAGGGAGAAAGCATTTTAGGTCTCGAGGAGAGAGATAACGGAGGGACGAGAAGCACGGGTTTTCAGGAAGGAAAGAAGACTACAGGGAAAATGAGGGCTCAGCCGGGATCTTTCACTACAGGTGGAGAAGAACGGGATTTCAGTTAGGTAGAGCCAGGAGCGACTACGAGGGAGACACCCGTGGAGGCTGCCTAGGTCTACGCGAAGCGAGGACGAACGTGAGAGGGGAAGACGAAACCGGCGACGCGTTAATTCATCAATATTAGTCTAGTGGTTATAGGATCCGCTGAATATACGAATGCAGGGGAATTATTTGTAAACTAGTAGGAAGCAATAAAACTATAACCGTACAGTAAATCGAATCTAACTGCGTTCTGTTCCACTGGTACTACCTGTTATTTGCTACGTGGCATCACCGTCCTGCCTAATATAACGGCAGGAGCGAACACTGAATCCAAACAACTAGGACACGCGTTAACTATATAACGCCTGTCGTACCGTAGTTGGCTACCCCTAGGGCCACTACAGTAGTAAACGTTGTAGTTTGAGTCATGGCTGCAACTGGAAATGTGAGAAGAGATAGTAGAAGGAAAAGGAATGTTAAATCAGCTACACTATCGCAGGAGCAAGTAAATTATATTACAACGCGTTTAAGACAAGAGAAGCAGGATCACAGTGACGAGTCATTTATCAATGAACGACGAAAACATACGAGCTTTGTCGAAGCAACATTAGCAGTCACTAAACGCGGGAGAGGCGTGTTACTGGGTGATATGGCGCTAGGATTACCTAGAAGTACTCGATTTTTATCGCTTTATATCTCGGCATAGGAACATCGTAGAGACAAGCGGTTGATTTTATATTGGCTAGCTATGACTTCTGCATAATATTCCGGTAGAAAAGTATCAAAATAAGGTAGGTAAACTTTATTCATTTTGCTGAAACGACACCATGGTTTTCCTATTTCAGCGTTGTACGCTCTGAGGTTAATGTGCTCTTGATATTATTGATATGTATATATACTCACTGTAATCACAATTTCAATGGTTAAATCCTTAAATTGAAACTTTTGTCGGCTGTAATCCATAATGTTGAACTTGATTATCTAATTAATTTAATCAATCGTAACTATCGCTGATAGGGTCTATGTCCCCCAGGGTACTATCGGAGGTAGCGGCAACTGTACTCGGGCTATAGTACTAGAGCTATATCGGAGGGTACCCTGGGTACGGTTCGATATATCGGAAAGTACCTCGGGGGGTACTATACGATATGTCGCTGCGTACCCTGCATTGTCCCACCATACCCTGACTTTATATGGACGTATTTCCGATGTTGTAAAACTAAAATATAAAAGCTAGCTCTTCGTTTAAAAAAAAGGAAAAAGAAAAATATAGTCAAACATAGCATACATTTTTATTGGATTGCGATGTTTTGAGGTTTCTTCTATGTGATGTGGTAACTTGACAGAGTGTATGTATTACGACATCAGTAGGCTGAAAGTCAGGGTACGGTGGGACAATGCAGGGTACGCAGCGACATATCGTATAGTACCCCGAGGTACTTTCCGATATATCGAACCATACCCAGGTTACCCTCCGATAGTACCCTGGGGGACATAGACCCTATGACAGGGTGTTCATTATCTTTTATAGTAACAGGCCGAAATGCTTTTGCAACAGGCCGTGGGGGAGTGCGGGCGGGGGGTTTGGGGGTACCCTAGATGAACATTAACTATGCAATTGTTCAGGGACGGCCGGCGATGGGCCCAGAAGACATTAGCTGCATACTTAAGAGTAGACATAAATTAACGTGGACAGAAGGCATTTCAAAATGGTACAAACACATTAACTTCAACAAGAATGCGGCTGAGTTTATCAAACAGCCATCATTAAGGGGGTACCATCGGATGGTAGTCGCGACCGGTCGTTGTACCCACGACCTGCGACACAAACAAGCAAACAGGTCAGACGACGATGCGGACGGATAAAAGACAGGGGTTTTGGGGACAACGGGAGACGTTGGCTACATCTGACTGGTATGTGTACACTGTTGCTAACCGTGTTTATAATAAAACTATAATTGTCACCGTTTATACAACTGTTACGTTCTACTGTCTACGAACCACAAGTTCCACTCTACAAAAACAAGATAGATATTGATGAAATAGGCCTAGAACTGTTTTAAACATTTCTCTGGTTACTTTCTTACATTATAGATAGCTTGGAACAGTACATGCACCAGATGTATTAGTATTAGGCAGTGCCTAGTATTCACAATCGAAATTGAGTGCAGCAGTTTCAATTCCCATCGCTAACTACCAAGTGTACATGATCGTGGGTACAGATTGATAAACCCTGGCCAATTAGACACAACAACAGCAGCAAGCAACTACCAGTGAACAGTGTGCTGACACAACTCGCTCAACCGCATACCTTGATTCGGCATGAAGGGTTGCTGTTGAGGGAATCCCTGACCCCACTGGCCTCCAAACTGTTGCTGGCCCCATTGTCCTTGGGGCATGAAGCCTACATAGTAAGGCAGTTGTTAGCATATTAAGTAGATTGCTTGTGTTACACTTAAATCAGCGCAGAGAGATTGTGTTCATCTTGCAGTCACTGCCGTGCTACCACTCGCTGCACTACGATAAAACGTTGTTCGGTTTAAATTCAAAGTCGTGGAACTTGACATACACAAAAGCTCATCTTACATTCGCTCAGGGTTTTCATTATCTTTTATAGTAACAGGCCGAAATGCTTTTGCAACAGGCCGTGGGGGAGTGCGGGCGGGGGGTTTGGGGGTACCCTAGATGCTCTGAGATGCAATCTGGTGTATTCTGAGCTGCAGTAAACAGACACATTTGGATTACAGTATGGCCCTTTTTTCCAATTTGGTTTCTCCAGGTACATTCAGAGTTCACCAAAAGTTTCCAAATTATGACGATTTAGTAATTATAAGAGTTAGACAATTAAGTACGTAAATACTCAAAAACAAAACAATGCTTCTTGTGCACATAACATGCATACAAATATACTCAACTGATTTATTAGTAGTAGCTCATAAAACACTTTCACTTTGGAGAATAATTAGAGCAAACTAACCGTGAGCGCAAGCCGTGGACAGTGTGGTTAGTAGCTGCCTTTTGTTTCAAATAGCTTCCTCGCCGCATGGATTTTGCTGGCAACAGAATTGAAAATCGTGTCGTACGTTTTAGTCTGTATCTCCGGATTGAGGGTGTATACTAGAAAACGATTTCACACGATGGGAAGAGGATGTACTGTGTACGATTTGAGCTCAAGTTGGTTGCGTTACGCGTAGTAAATCGTAGGTATTTTAAGGCTAGTAAATGACGAATTTCCCTTGCTTATTGATGTCACACTCCTCCCTATTATCTACTCCTGATGCAATGTAGTTCTACAATACACCTTAATGCATGGTTCTATGCTGCCGTTAGGTCGTTATGATAATATGAATGATAAGTACGACAGATGAACTAGGACCCACACATATGAAGCAAACTATATATCTCTATTGTGTTTCGAGTTCCAAACATTTAACGTACGACAATAATATTATCATCCATCGTGTTTGTAACTTAGATATCCCCTGAACTAGTATACTGGTAACTGGTGATGTTAATATATTCTGTGTTACATGCTTATAAAACTTTCAGGTTGTGTGAGTAGAAATGTCATCCTCAGCACGTAAGCTTGCGCCGGCTTGGCGTAGTGGTATGTGGTTTGACATGCTACCTGAACACTACAAGGCACGATACTGGGAATCAAGGACAAGACAACCAATCCCAGTGCATTGGATTCCAAACAAAGACAAATATATGATACATCCGAAAAATGGACAAAAGTATAATTTTGTAAAACTGAAACATTTATAAATAATGCAGGTTTTATGTTGAAAACTTAGGTATCTCTACTGTTAGATACCTATTTTTAGATCTTTTAGGAACTGCAAGGCGAAACTGTTTGGGATGCTGTAGTTTCTAGACATGGATGTAGTTATTTTATGTAGTTTTTATTCTGTTATTTTATCCAACGTTTCTTCTAGGGTACGAATTGAAGACGTCCCAATACCTGTAAAGTACCCAAAAGAATGTGATGAAGGATTGTGGGGAGGTGAAGGTGTGGTCAAAGGATTTCAGAAACGTCATCCTCTAAGGAGAAGGTATGTAACTTTCTACAGTTTGTTTTGTTCTGTTATAAAAGAATGCATCATAAGTTCTTCACAAATCAAAATATCGCAGGGTTCCACATTACTGGATACCATCACTGAAGAAGAAGATACTGTACAGTGAGATATTGGATCGATACATGGTCATCACTGTCACCAGCCGCACACTGGACCTGATTGATGAGGCATATGGATTTGATCACTATATATTAAAGGTAAATTAAAGGGCACGAGTGAAGGGTCATATATGTTGTATAGTTTTGCAAACTAATTCTTCATAATTAGGACAGATGATTTTAATATTTTGTTGGTATGTGTATTTGTATAATATAGCATGTTTCATTGTAGACCCATCAAGTGGACTTGAAGTCTGATCTTGGAATGACTTTAAAGAGGGAAATGCTTCTAGCGCTTGCTCAGAAGACTTATTATCCAGATGATCCTGCTAGACAAGCAAAAATACTAAAAAAATATGGGAAATATATGATACTGGTAAGTGATACTTGATTCTGTATGTATTAATTTCTACATAAATCCCTATGATATTTGTTCATTACGCTACGAGTCACTGCTTTGCTATATATACAATTATGATTACGTGGCAGATTAAACTCTTCCCTTCGTAGTATGAAAGTTTGTTGCATGAATATATCAATGACCTACCACCCATATGATCCCCATTCACACTCGTGGAACTTTAATAGCTATTTACCTAGCAAACAAGACTCAAGTGACCCACTGAAAAACTAAACTTAATTATAACAATATAACATTGGTGTTAGATCTCAAGAATTCCCCTAGTCTTGGGTTAAAAAGAACTCGATTAGTGGTTTTTGATTATTGATTATAATGAAGTATTTTAATTTCCTGCAGGAAGAGGAGGCAGAATGGATAGGTTATTCCTTGAAAGATGCGATCATAAAGATCCGACTACAACTAGACGACAAAAAGCCAGTACCGTTGAAAGAAAAATATAAGGCAGAGTTGCTCGAACAATTAGCAGGTAACATAAATTCCTATAAATTGCACTCAACTCTCAACCACCGGTCATGGATGTTATAAAACTAGACACCTTTACATGGATTTAGAGAACAACTCACCCAACTGCTATTGACTTAAGAAATACTCATTCAACTTCACACTTAAAAGAACCATTTTCGTGGTGGTTTTCAGATGCTAGTCACAAAGATAAGTCTTCAGACCAAGAAACGTAAGTTTTACTAATGAGCCTTCTGTTCTGTTCATAAAGGAATGTTTGTAAGCAGCCAGATTTTTGATAAACAGCATTATGCAATTAGATGGCAACTTTTAATTATCTGTCATGTTTTCATATTATCCAGTACCGTACAATATAGCATGACCACAGAATATGCAAGATGTGCAATGGGATTGGTGAATCAATTAAAAAGGTCATGTGATATGTGAATATGATGTCAGATGATAAATTAAAAATTCCGTGTAGATGGCATCGTGATTAAGTGGAATTGTGCAATTCTTTTTATCTAGGAAATCATGGATTTCCCGCATAAGCCCATTCGGTGGAAAGTCGGAGAGCTAACACTGTACATGTGGTTTGAGAGAGCTAAGCATCCCAACACCTTTGAAACAGTTATATCTATGTAGTGATAGTCACCAATCATTAAGATTGTAGATCACTAAAGGATTATCTAGCCAAGATTGATACAAGTATTAGTTTTCATACCTGCATGTATATAGTTCATTATAGTTCATTATATTATGAATTCATGTTCAAATAGTAGATGTGGAATTTATATGCGAAGTCAGGCTACGGGAATATCTCGTAGTGAATACTGCCACAATTTCAAGTGACTGTTTTTACACAGTTTATGTCAGATCAGAAAAACGATAAAATAAAGCCAAGTGCATAAAATGTGCATTCCTATAACAGGTAGTTTTTTTTTACTTCGTATAAATACAGCTTATGCATCTCCTCCCTCAACAGTAGTCTTCTCAGAGACGTACACTCCATCCAGGAACTTTCTGATGTCCTTGTTCTTCACAGTTGTAGATTGCTGAATACGGGCAGCTGAAATGTAACCAGAAATGGCTTCATTAAAAAAGTGCAAGGTAAAATTGTTGGCTAACCAGATAAACCAAATTGCAATAACTGGTTACACAATTGCCAAATTTAACTTTGAGGTTATGAAAATGTTTAACAATGAATGAGTTCATTCTAAAATCTCAGTCTTAAATGTATTAGTAACACAACCAATCACAGATTTGCGAATAATAATCGAAATCATATTAGATTGTCGATTAATGCATTTTTTGATAAAAATTTGTAAGTAAAATGCAATCGTTTAGACTTCTGGATTTTAATAGGGAACATACATCTATCACATATCTAACCAGAACTTAACAGCTATCAACGTAAATGAAAAACGAGTATCAAGTGTAATTCATTAGTAACATTTTTGAGAAAACAATATTGCGCATATGCTGCTAATACAGTTTCGATATAGAAAATAATAATTGACCGTGGGCATAAGATACGAGGTTAAAATTCACACGACCACACTAAGATTTATGGGACACAAGGGTATATCTAAATCTTACCGGCTTGTGAAACCAGCTCGATGCTATTGCCCTCCAGAATAATCTCATCTTTCTGGTTGGTAGAGTTGCTGCATTTAACTCCTTCAGGCATGGTCACTCGCCGAATGTACTTCTCACCAAGGAAGTTCCTGATTTCAACCAAGCTATTTTGTTCGCTGATTGAAATGTTGATGGGGAAATGGGCATATACTGAACGCATCTTGTACAGGAATCCCTACAATGATAAAATACAGCTTGCATTATACTATTTTAACTTGCATAACAATTAAACTATTTTGCAAGTTAATAAAACCAACTGGTCCATCGAAGTGAAGTTATAACTTTGGTAAAATAACTGTTCAGAATAGCATTAAGAATATAGAAGTTCAAAGGCCAAATATGGCTTTGATACTATAAACCTATAAATTTCAGCCCTTAGATAAGAAGTTACAAATGGGAGAAGGAAAGTAAAACTTATTACCTCCGCCCAACGGAGTTGGAGGAGGTTATGGTTTCGCTCTCGTGTGTTCGTGTGTTCGCGCGATCGATATTAGCCAGCCAGCCAGCCAGCCAGCAAGCCGCGGCGTATGGCGTTGGCGGTCGATCGATATCACCCCGCGGGCCAGCGAGTCAGCAAGCCAGCGAGCACATGTGAGCGAGCAGCAGCAACGAGCGAGCGAGCAGCAAGCCAGCGTGTACATGTCAGTACGCTGGCGTATATTGTGGGTTATTCGTGTGTCCGTGAGTCGTATGGCGTTAGCGGAGGTATGCACTCTCCGTGAGTGCACTCTGTCTAGTTATGTATGCAATTATCATTAGGGAAGGCTACACAGCTGCTCTGTAACGTATTACCAGCAAAGTAGGTATGTTTTGATATCAGGCAGTTCTGGTATGTTTGTTATAAAACTTAAAATGCTATTCGACTAGCTGATTGGCAACCCAAGACTCCACATGACATATTAACTGTTGAACTTGTTTCCAGTCTTGGAAATGTCTGAACATCAAACCACTCCCGATTTCAAAAATTTAGTTTTCGACTATATAACCTATATTAGTACAATTCATAGAAATAGTCAGTCGTGCTTAAAAGTGACCAGTACCAGACTTGGAAACGGGCTACCATTTCCATCACTGGTTTTACTGTATAAATGACTTAATGGCCCTTGACCTGTGCATAACCTATTTCACCATCCCACCACTAACTCTGACTTGCATTTACATTCACACACATTATTATATAATTCATATATTCATCCATTACTTTAGTCACACCCTTAAGCATGTTCTCAATGTGACCGTAATTCATATATTCATCAATTACCTTAGTCACACCCTTAATCATGTTCTCAATGTGACTGCAGACAGTTCTGACAACAGCCAACTCCTTACGGATGCCGAACCACTTCTCCACGATCAACTGACTGCCGCTGACCATCTTCATGTCCACTGGAATATGTTTGAAGCTTCTCGACAGGGTTCCTCGGGGTCCTTTTATCGTCACCCTGCGTGACTTAACGCTGACCTTCACTGCAATGAAACAAGAAATATAAAGTAAAACACACACGTCAAACCCCTCTACGCCCATTCACTTAACAACAATTGCCAATATTAAAAGCACTACAATTTATTATTATTTACATATTTCACATGGGGGAGTATAGTAATAAATTTCCGATTTTCCGAAACATGCATATCTGCTGGCAGAGGAAAAGTAGCCTCGCCTCTTCCTCTGCTTAATACGATCGGTAGCCTCGGCCAATTCGAGCTGCAGTAGTCCTGTTCATAATTAAATCTACCACTTTTCTCATTAATTGATTTACTGGTTGATATAGAATCTGTATAGGTCCTGCTAGTGTGCAAGCTCATTTCGAATTACTAATAATGTCTCTAATCAACTTCACACTTGGGAAAAATCAGAAGCAGGCATCGATCTGTTAAGTTTCAATGATGGTGAAGTTATTTATTCGATGAACTAATGTGCGTATCTTGCTGGCCTTCTAATGCTTTTGTCTTCCAAAGAACAAACAGTACAATGCAAAACCTGAAACAAATGTGATTATGCGTGTTGTACAGCTGTACCACACTGGCTGTAATAATACATACACACATGGTACATGTACCACACAATGGTGTTTAACTCTTCACCAATCTAGACTAATATAATCAAATCTAATGATAGTATTAAATATTAATGGAGGTGATACCACTTTCATACTATCGTTGGAAATTACACCCATAAGCTTTTTACCAACATTACGACGAATTCAAGTAGAGCTGCTAAGCAATGTTTAATCTCCACGGCCAAAACACAACTTGGTGGATGTGCTGACTGGCCATATTATAATTATGATGTGTGTGGCAATTGGTCTAGAGGTGAAACTAAATTCTTGTTTTCATGAGTATGCTTGACAATTCCCATGAACTTGCGGTGCATTGGCTAGTAGTACAAGTACATCTACATACAATTTAAAATGCTAAAATCAGTCAATGTCAACAAACGTAACTTACACTGTCACTAATTAACAATATGGACAGCCGCCAACTCGGTACGCAAGTTAGATTTCTCTACAGTCATTGCGACTACCTTTGTCACAGTACCAGTGTATTAAGAGTTATAACACTACTGTCACTGTATAAGACAGTGGGAAGTGTGTATGGGCGGTATCGCTTTAGCCTGTTCCCGCTGCCAGTATCATAACACGAAGTGGCTTGTGCTCCGGTAACCGGACCACGAATCCGTGCTCCGGCAATCCCAGAATGCACTGCAAAGTCATGCAGAGCATTTCTCATCACAAAAATTACGGCACACAAACCTTTAGATACAATAATGTAACCCAAACACAAGATAGGGTTACAACGCGAGCTTATTCTTTTCTTTGGAGGAACCCCTGAGTGAATCACTCAGGGCGGTTTGCTGATGCGTTTTTAGAGACTAGAACTTTTAAACTGGGTTTATTCTAAACACAAACCTTTCTCCGCTATCCTGAAACTTACTATGTATCACAATACTCTGTATTAAACTATTATAACCGGTTACAAAATTTCGAAGTGACGAGCGGTGATATTTCGAGCGGCATTTTGTTGACCTGTGACGTACAGATTCCCAATGCGCATAGCGTTCGGCTAACTTTGTCATGACGTCATGACTGAAAGCAGGCATCCCATGATACATTCAATCTTGGAGTTGAAGTTAGCCAAACGCTATGCGCATTGAGAATCTGTACGTCACAGGTCAACAAAATGGGCGCTCGAAATATCACCGCTCAGCACTTCGAAATTTTGTAACCGGTTATAATAGTTTAATACAGAATATTGTGATACATAGTAAGTTCCAGGATAGCGGAGAAAGGTTCGTGTTTAGAATAAACCCAGTTTGGAAGTTCTAGTCTCTGAAAATGCACCAGCAAACCGCACCGAGTGATTCACTGGATCTGGATAGTTTACTGCGTAGCCCACGGTTACGTGGATAATAACGCAGGGCTATAGCTAGACATGGGGTGTGACCTAGCTTGGGTAAAGCCAGGTAGTTAGCCAGCCTTTTAGCCGAATGGCACTGAGGGTGGTCACAGCCAGAGTTCCTTTGCGCCCTCAGTGGTTCTTTCCCATTGGCTAGTATTTCTATTCACTCAGGGGTTCCTCCAAAGAAAAGAATAGGCCTGCGTTGTAACCCTATCCTGTGTTTGAGTTACATTAAATCATTATTGTGTTGTATCTAACGAACTTTGTATGTTTTTTTTTGTTGGGCTGCTAAGAAAAGAGGTTAGGGTTCAGGTTAGGGCACAGGGAAGTCAAATTTGAATTATGATTTGAAAAAGCATGACTTGAAATCCGGTCCGGTTACCGGAGCAAGAGCCACTGGCATCATCATAACTCATAAGTCATAACACTTTCCACAGGCACTTGAAGCGTTTCAATAAAATATAATGCTAAATAAATAGGAAATCTATTTACTACCAAATTCTTAATGTTTCTATACTCTCTTTCACCTATTATTGCCGTCTAAATGCTCATCTGTAAACACACGCCGCCGCCATTGCTGCTGCGCTGCACACTGACACATAAATATATAGCAGGTAAGAAAGCGTGCGCCAGAAATTCGCTCGACGCTCGCTGCATTTCACATGATTACAACACAAAAACTCAACCTTCCGACTCCATCTTTGCTGCCGCACGTACAGTGCGTGCATGCGTTCGTGGTGAGTCTGTACCTACACGTGCGTCATGCGTGCCGTGGTGCACGTACACGTTCGGCGTGCGTGCTGGCCTGCTTGTGCAGGTACACGTGTGTGCCATGTATGCGTGCGTGACGTACGTACGTGCGTGTGCTGTGCAGGTCACACGTGCGTGCAGTGCGTGCCCAATGCATCGCTGCCCCGTTAGACGTGCGTCGGCGTGCGTGCGTGCGGGTGCACGTACACGCTGCGCTGCATGCGTGCGTGTGCACGTACACCGTGCGTGCATGAGTGTGTTGCGTGACGTGCTGCAAAATACACGTGCGCCTGCCAAGTTGCGCGCGTGTGCAAGTACACGTCGATTGGCGTCTGTGGCGTGCGCGCGTGTGGCATGGCACGTAGGCGACTTGCGTGCGCGTGCCATGCGTGTGCACGTGGCACGTGCGTGCGTGGCGTGTGCACGTACAGTGTGTGCCATAGTGTTGCGTGCGTTGTGCAAGTACGCTGTGCGTGGCGTGCCGCTGTGTACGTACATCGGCACTAGCTGCTGCCGGCCTACGGTGGGGTTAAGATAACTCGAGTTAAGCTGATCTACACGGGCCTTATCTCGAGTAAGGTAACTCGAGTTAGCTAAACCTCGATCGACTGGCGGTTAAGCTCAACTCGCAGTTAACGGCTCAACTCGACCGGTTACCTTAACATATCAGGCCCGTGTAGCGCTTAACTTTCGACGTTTAAGCGTTCGGTCGTTGTAAACGTAG